TCAGCTTTCTCAGCACCCAAGAGTGAAGAACAACCAGAAAACTTAATAGGTTCAAGATTCTGAACTCGTTAAAAATATGGATCCAAACTTAATATTTATGCTACTTTTCAGGGGTTTTCACATGGAATATATATTTATAAGCTGCGCTAAAAATGATGGGTTCAACTGAATCGAACTCCTAACACTCTGAATTATTGTCAACTTGTCACATATAATTATTTAGGTGGTGGTTCATTATTCCACTACCTGACATGTTTTGCCAAGTTGTTAAATGAACTGTGTGATATTATAGGGATACAACTATACAAGAAAAATTATAGGGTGGTCCATACAGAAAGAAGCCAAACATGCAATTAAAAAAAAACACAGTGAAAGAAGTACACACAGAACACAAATACAGTAAACAATAATGAAGAAAAAAACTCACTTGTGTTCTTCCTCTGTCCATGGAATACCCTTCTTCCTCTCTTGTTCTGGAGGCCTATTGGACAAAGATCTTTTGCCTCCAACAACATAAGACTGCTTGTATCCATCAAAGCTACTATGACTATTCCCCCATTCTAATGTAAAAGGTGAAGAAGAAGTAGTAGTATAACCAGGAATAGTAATTAATCCAGCTTCTATCCTGCTCACATCATCTTCTAATTCCTTATATTGCCTAATTACATCAACAACTGTTTTCCCTGGAACCATTTCTGCTACCCTTTGCCATCTATCTGGTGTATCTTTATCAAAAAAGGCAAGAGCATTCTCAAATGCCTTATTCTCAGCTGGAGTCCATTTTGTGCTCTTTTCCTCATCAAGAAACCAGCTTGAATTTGAAAGATAAGGAGCTGGTGATAATATCTCCATAAACCCCACCTCACAAAAATCAAATTACAGAGGGAAAAGTTACAAGAAATTAAAGATGGTTCAAGAATGCATTTTTTAAGAAAAAGCTTTTGAATTTGAGGAAGCAAAGGACTGAGAGAGTAAATGTAGAGAGGCTGAGATTTTACAATGGCAATATCAGTGTTAAATCAACAAGTCAGCATCT